GAACTACAGGTGCATGCTACCACGCCCAGCTAATTTTTTGATTTATTCTAGAGACAAGGTCTCACCTGTTGCCCTGACAGGTCTCAAACCCAGGGGCTCAGGCAATCCTTCGCCTCAGCCTCCCAAAGTACTGGGATTATAGGCTTGAGCCACCATGCCCAACCAGAGGCTGGTATTTTTTTAAAGGCTTCCCAGGTGGTTCTAATGCAATGAACACTGGCGTGTAGGGTATCTAAGTCTAAGTAACACTTTGTTAAATGAGGTATAAAATTCCCCTGTCTGTGAAGGTGATACTTTAAAAGACACGGAATTCTGGACGGTTTCGTCAGACAGAGCTGAGGATGGGGTGAGCTTTATCTGCGCAGCCATGTTTCCTTTCGGGCTTTGCTGAGGGGTCACTTCCCCAGGTCCAGTGACCGCTTTCAGTTGCACTTAGAAGGAAATACTCTAGCAAGCTGGTTCTAAGCAGACGTGAGCAGGCTACGAAAGTCAGTTTCTCCTCCTCTGCTGCACCGCTGCGTTTTGTGAAGTCAAGCCTCTGGCGTGACTCCATGTGTTCAGCGTCTCTCCCGGAGCAGAGGAGGGTTGCTGCCCTTCGTCACAGCAAGCTAGCCGTTCGTTTCAAAGTGTGCAGGCGGTTGCAGCCCCAGTGCATAATACCATGATCTGCACAGACTCACTTCTGAAAGCGCGAAGGAGCAGCATGTGGACGTTTATTGAAACTGGGTATTTACATGGACAAGTTAGTGCCCAAGGTACCTAAACTTAACCAGAGTAAAGCAGGGGTTTCCCGTACTGTTTTTCTTTCAAAGAAGGAACGCTCTAGTTGGGCTGTTGTAGCCATAGTCGTAGCAATTCTGATGTAAAATTCTGATTCTAGCCATGTGTGATCTTGACCTGTACAGACACATTAGATTGCTTTCTCTTCTGAGGCTTTAGAAGCAAGAGAGTTTAGAGTCCATCTAAGATAGTGAAGTACTTTATAGGTTTATATTTAAAGTGCAGAAAGGTAAAAAAACAAAACAAAACAAAAGCAAAAACATACTCCTGCGTGTAATAACCATGTTCAGGGCCCTAATACAGGGCTGAGGTCTTGTGCTGTAGACAGTTGCTCGCGGACCCTCTCCCACTGTCACCACCCAGTGATTGCAGGATCTGGAGCTGAGACCCAGAGGTGTTTAGCTGATGGAAGGGCTGGGCACAATATTCAGAGGAGGTTAAAGTAACAAAAGCACTACGTAAAGTGTTGGTTGTAGATATCCTCTGAAAGACATGTTTCCCGTTAAAAGAACCATAACCCCACTGGTAGTGTTGTAAGACTTCCAGCCTGGTGTAAGTTGCTATTATATCTGAATTTATGCAAATTCGTAATTTAGTGATGAGACTGATACTTGAAATCAGCAGTCTTAATAGCACTCCCAAAACGTTCGACATGATAATAGGCTGTATAACTAGAAGCATTTGTTCTTATTGTCTCCTCTTTTTATTTATTATTTTTTAGTTTTTTATTTTAAAGATGTGGGGTACAGTTCAGGGTTAGGTGCACCAATGTTCATTATGCTGGCACCCCTGTTGATGAGGATTGCCCTCCCCAGCAGTGTCCCTGTGCCGCCAGGCCTGTCCCCCCACGCCCCTGGCAGTTTGCCACACTGCCAGTCCTTTTCCTTAGATAATTGTTTAAAGTCTGCTTAGGAGTGAGAACGTGTGATACTCATTTCTTTGTTTCTGTGAAAGATCATTCAGTATTGTAGACTCTAAGCCCATCCAACTTTTGCTGCAAAGTTCATAATTTTGTCCTTCTTTATGGCTGCATAATATTCCATTGTGTATATGTACCACGTTTTTTAAATCCAGTCCTCTTTCAGTGGGCAGCATGGTTGGTTCCATGTTTTTGCTATTGTAGATAATGCTGCAATAAACATGTGTGTGCAGGTATCTTTTTCACAGAGTGATCGGTGTTCCTCCAGGTGTATTCCCAGTAGGGGGATTGCAGGGTTGTATGGGAGGTCAATTTTTAGATCTTTTAGGAATTGCCAAACTGGTTTCCACAGAGGTTGTACTAGTTGCATTGGTGTACCTTCCCACCAACAGTGTAGAAATGTTTCCTTTTGCCCTCATCCTCTCCAGCATCTGTTGTTTTTTGAGTTATTGATGATGGCCATCCTGACTGGAGTTAGGTAGTATCTCAGTGTGGTTTTAATTTGCATTTATTTGATGACTAGTGAGGCTGAGCATTTTTTCAGGTATCTGTTGGCTGCTCATATGTCTTCTTTTGAGGAGTGTCTATTCATATCTTTAGCCCACTTTGTAATGGAGCTGTTATTCTCCCCTCTTTTTAAAGGGAGATTTTATAAGTGCTAAGGAAAAAGTAGCCATCTCTGTCTTTCCCACTTTTCCCTATATCTGACAATTCACCGAACTGCTTATTTAGTATAGAAAGCAGTGCATCAAAAGAGGTCCGTGCTAGTAAGAACATTTGTACAAAAGCATGAATAGCCCATGTGCTTCAAGTTCATTGAGAGCTGCTTCTGCCACCTGTTTGAAATGGCGAATACAAAAATGGCAGCATTCTTTGTTTTATTTATTTATTTTTTTGAGTTGGAGTCTCACTCTGTCGCACAGACTGGAGTGCAGTGGCTGCTCCCAGCCACTGCAGCCTCGACCTGCTGGGCTCCGGTGATCTTTCTGCCTCAGCCTTCCGAGTAGCTGGAACTACAGGTGTGTGCTACCATGCCCGACTAATTTTTTTTTGTTTTTATTGTTAGAGACGAGGTCTTGCCAAGTCGCCCAGGCGGGTCTCAAACCTGCGGGCTCAGGCAATCCACTCACCTCAGCCTCCCAAGGCACAGGATTTCAGGCTGAACCACCGAGCCCAGCCGGCAACACTCTTTAATATTGTCTAGTGTATGGGAGGGACCAGCTAATAGTTCTCAAATGTTTTGTGTACATGAGAAGCACTGAATGATCTTGTTAAAAAAATTTTTTTCTTATTTATTTATTTATTATAGAGATGTGGGGCACAATTTAGGGTTAGGTATATAAACATTAACCATGCAGGTACCCTTGTTGATGAGATATGCCCCTCCCTCCCCTAGCAGTTTCCCTGAACTGCCAATCCCACCCCCTCATGACTGTTTTCCACTACTGCCAATCACTTTCTTATAGCATTATAGTTGTTCACGGTCCATTTATGAGTGAAAATGTTCTCACCACAAAAAATAATAAGTATGTCAGGTAGTATGATAATTAGCTCAATTTAGCCATTCCATAATATACATATTTCAAAACATCATGTTGTATGCCATAAGTATATATAATTTTTATTTTGTCAGTTAAACTTTTTTAATCAGTAAAAAGATCATGTTGCTAACCAATGCCACTGTTGAAGCAAGCTTACTAACTAGAGTTCAATGTTTGTTTAATGTTCTCTTTGTCTCTAAGTAGTGCAGATGGCCAGATACTGGGCTCATAAATTACTTGAGTTATTCATTTCCTTCTTCATGTGGCTATGCTATTCATTTGAAATTCAGTTAAGTTCATTTATTACTTTGTTTACAAAAAAGAGAGAGATGATTCTCAAGCTGCTTCAACTTCTTCTCCCCCCAAAATTATAAACCTGGGGTTGAGGAAATTTCATTGCATTTTTAGCTCTGTATACCATTGACACTCTGTCTTGGCCATGTCCCATAACCATCTGAGGTTAACAAACAAATAAATGAGCAGGCAGATACAGATCACAGGCCCTACCTCTAGAAATTCCAGTCCAGGTGCTTAAGGGTAAAGCCCTGCTGCATTTTATAAAAGTTCCACTCGTGTCTCTGATACATGGCCAGGACTGAGAAACACTGTGCTGTAATTGGCATGCATATGAGAAGCACCAGCGGTAAAGCTACATAAGGAGAAAGCACCAACAGCCTGTGCATTGCCAGAGGACCCAGGCAAGACGCAGTTGTTGGGAAGAGAGCCCCTCAAGCATTAAATATGTGAAATTAAAAATGAGTATCCAGCTAATAAAATGAGTTTCCACTTTTTATCTAGATTTTTTAATGTTGTGTATATGTGTAATCAGTTCACTTAAGCTCTAGCTAAAAATTCTCAGTAATATGAGAAATGTTTGTTCTATCTTCTGCAGTACTTAGCATACTAAAATGACGTCCTATGTTAAAAGTTTTTTTTGGAGGAATTGTACCACTGGGCAGATAAGCATAATCCTGTGCCCTGAAAAAGTGAAAGCACTTGTTAAAGTAGTAGCCAAACCTACTGAGTTTCTGGTATGATCTAACTACATTATGTGTCCAGTTATCCTCTGGACACGCATTGCTTTCTTCAGATTATCATGTCTGGACTTTGCCGAAGTAAATAGGAATATTTGTTCTTGCATCCTAGCTATGTAGGATACAAGAGTCTACCCTACATAAAAGGTAGACTCCTACATTGTTTTCTTTATGTAAAGTTAGATTTCCTGAGAGATAAATTGAAGAACCTAATTAGCTTGTAGACCAGATTCAGAAAGTGGAGTTATTATTGAATATATCCATGGCACAGTGAAATGAATCGGGTAGTGTGAAACCGTACTATGCATAATTAATCAAGTGAAACAGATTTTTTAAATCACCTTTTTAATGAAGAATAGTGTCATATTGAAATTAATCTTTCAATATTGCTAATTTAAGATGTTCCTCTTAAGGGCTTTAGCCATTAATTTTTTTTAATAAAATAAATGAGTCTCCATTATGTCTATTATTTCTTACATAAAAAATATGTAATCCTCTAAAGTATTCTATCAAGTACAACATAATAGTTTTCAATTCTCACCATATTACATTCAACGCTATTTGTTATACAGATATCAATATTTTTTATCAAATATGTTGGAAATAGTGCATCTTTTAATAAAATCTTTGCATATCATATAAGTAGTCTATATATAAATCTTGTACATGAATATAGACATATGAATGATCGAGTTTTGTATTTTTTTATTCTTCTTTTTTAAACAGAGCATTAAGAAGAAGAATACAAATAAACAGGAGATGGGCACATACTTAAGATTCATTGTCTCCCGCATGAAGGAGAGGGTGAGTCCTGCGGAGGGAATCTTTCAGCACCTCTCAAACCTATTTCACTCTGGCTCATTCTTTCGAAGCCAGTGAGTGAGAAGTTGCAGATATTTATATGGCAATATGAAGTGTGAAAAGCTCCCATCATAGTTCTTTTCTGCAGTGAACGGTTCTATAACAGGCTGCTAGATGTTTTGTTTTGTCTTTGTTTTTGGCACAGGCATTTTTCTGGCTGCATGAAATTAGAAACATTTGCATTTCTGAATTTCATTTATCAGAATGAACATTTTCATTGATAATTGCTGTTTAAAATGAAAGGGAATTTTTCAAAGTAGCTGTTTTTTCTCTTGCGTTAAGAAATGCCATATTAAACTACATAGTATACATACATTTTTCTGTTTCGTTTTAACTTACTTCTTATAAGATTTCTCCTTAAAGGTAGAGAACATTTTAAGTTTTAGGAATTGATATATCACCTTCTTCTCTTTAGCCATATTTAAAACTGATGTATCTAACAATCTTTTAGGCTATAGATCTTAATAAAAAGGGGAAGGACAATAAACATCCGATGTACAGGAGGCTGGTACATTCGGCTGTGGACGTTCCCACCATACAAGAGGTACAGTTGATTTCTTTAATTTCCACGTCAAGTACATTTTTAAACTATTCAGTTAGAGAATAATTTAGCAGTTAAGCAGTGTTTCTGGTTGCTGTTCTTTTCTCTACTTATTTACTAAAAAAAACACACACATAACTACTAAATGAAGCATTATTAATTGTAAATCTCATGTGCTTACTCTAGTGCAAATTAGATGTCATCTTTAAAAGGTCTGATTTTAAAAGCAACTTTTAAAAGATGTCTTGCAGCTTGGGCAATTTAATACTTTAGATCATTTCTAGATACGGTTTTTCAGGTTTGGCAGTGGCATTTAGGAATTTTTCCCAGAAAAAAATGTAGAGCACAGAACTGATCTACAGTTTTGGGAAACAATAAGATGAATGGAATAAAGAATATGATTAGAAAACTTAAATATTTTTAAAGTTCTTAATTTTGCCTACTATAGCTGAAGAGTCATGAAAGAGTTTGTTAATATTCACTTACCAAGTACAACAAAATGCAGTAGAACACATAAATGTATTTCCAGTACTGCATGTTATATTGAAAAATTAAAATCATATGGTTACTGACAACGGTCTATAGGGAGGCCATGGGAATAATTTAGAGTCATATTACAAGTTTCCTTAGAAGCTGAGAAAGATCAGGGCTGCATTATTTCAATACAAGATAGGGGTAGATAAAAGTTGTTCCCTTAAAGTAGCTACAGATCCTGGAACAAAAACAAGGAACTTTAATTTTACCCTCTACCCCCAGATTTAATAGCTCCAGGTATAGCCCTTTCTCCTAAACCATAACACCCCTAAAGAACATATAAGAACCCAGACACCCACCCCATCTTGCCCCTCCTGTTGAACTCCTCCAAGACTCAGTTCAGTAGCTAGTTCTACCATGAAGGCTCGCCAAGTTCTCCAAGTCTGATCTTGTGTAACGCATGCAGACCCAGGTTCACCCTAGCTGGGCTGGTGCCTTGGCCTTGTGCTTAGCCAGTGCTATGAGCACAAGTACTGTAAGGAAAACTAATAGGAAGACATGGTTTTTATACTCTCAGAAGCTTATCATTCACAGCGAACTATGAGCAACAGTTAAGTGCAAAACTCAGAACAAGGTGCAGTAGGAGAGCTGTGGGGAAGTTGGTCTTAACTTGAGTGTGCATTGGATCCCCTAGGTGAGCTCCAGAATACCAGTGCCCAATATACTCAGAATTCTGGGGTGCAGCTCAGATATCAACGTAAATAACCCATGTGACTATGGGTGCTATACAGGAAGCAGGCAACTCCAACTAGGGAAATCTGGGAAGCCTTCTTGGAAGAAATGATAACTGAATTGGACTTTGGAGGGTTTCGACAGAAAGGAAATGGCATAATCCATGGTGGTAGGGAGGAGTGGCTGCGTTCTTCCATATTCTTTAGGTCTTGACATTCCAAGCTGTTTTCAAGCCAATTTCCTAAATGTATAACCAGGGTAAGAAAATGCCTCCTTGCTACTTCTAGGCAACTTGGTCATATTCCACTTCCCAGAGTTTTGCCCACTTACCCCTTGGAAAAAGCTCTCAGATTTCTTTTGTAATCCTTCTCTTTGGCAACCAGAGGCCAAGCTACAGAGAATTCAATGAAGGAAACCCTTCACACATGCCACTGTCATATAAGAGAAACTCTGGCAGCGCCTGAGACATTATTTTAAAATTAGTTATAAATCAGTACCTAGTTCCAATTCAGAATTATAAATGTGTCTTGGTACAATGTCACAGAGCCTAACACTTCTGTGTTCCAGTCTTAACTTTCCTATGAGATTAAGAATGGTTAAGTCTATCATTAGGGTCCTACCACCCACACTGACCCACATTCATGATTTACAAAGCCTAGTTGCAGCTTTCATTACTGTTGCAAAATCAGGTGCTCCAGCTGTAAATTCACTCCTGTAAATTAATATAGAATGTGTGTGGCTACAGGATATCTGACCTGCCATGCTTGTCGTACTGTAAAATTACAACTGCAGATGCAGTTGTTGGTTTCTTGTATGCGTATTCTCTGCCAGTACTGTGGGAGGGCCGGCGGAGTCGTGTCATCCTGGAAAACGCTGCTGTGTCCCGTGCCCTAATACTGTGAATGTGGTCCAGACATATTTTCACTAGTAACTCTTTTGCCATTGGTTGTTTGACCTCTGCAGAAAGTGAATGAAGGGAAATACCGAAGTTATGAAGAGTTCAAAGCTGATGCTCAACTGCTTCTCCACAACACAGTGATTTTCTACGGAGGTTGAATATTTTTGCTTTCTTTCGTGTGCATTTTCTAAAAATATCATTTACATTCCATGTTAAGAAATGTCTTTTATGAAACACTTCATTCAAAATATCAAAACCTTACTGACCTATAAGTAATGATGCTAGAGTAAGCTTAGGAATATTTGGTGATATAGCTTATAGAATTGACTGGCCAAAGGCAAAATTGTAGTACACTAAATGATGAAAACTAATTATTTTTTATAGCTTCATATGTGTGTGTATGTGTGTGTATACACACACACACACACACACACACACACACACACATATACATATATTTGTTTTAGCTGAGAGGCTTTTTATAAGCACTTTAATTCTAATTGTTTCCCTGTTAGTATCCCATCCTTCAAAGGTAAGTTCACTCTATACCTAGGGATTTAGTGGTTGTGTTTGATATAAAATAAAAGCTACCTATAGAATTTATATTTGCTGCCTTTAAAATATACATTTTGGTCCAAAATGGTATATTTTCAGTTTTGCAAACTGAAGGATAATGACTTATAATTTTGCTGATCTTATATTTCTAGATTATCGCTTATCGGTAATATCTGTCTTTAATTACAGCAGACAGTGAGCAAGCTGACATTGCAAGGATGCTATATAAGGACACATGTCATGAGGTACTATTCATGCCTAATGATTAAATCCTTGCTATAATCCAAATTCATTTATTTCAGTGTTCCACTCTTCTTATCTACATTTTAATTATGCCATTTCCTTTAAATGTCTTTTATTTTCATGTTTGACATACATGGGAAATAATGCAAATAGAAAAAAAAAATTCTGGCAAAACTGTTCAAAGAGAAATCCTGGGAGTCAGATTTAGTTACTAAGTAACTTCTACAAGGAAACTTTCAGCCACCTTCAGAGCTGTTGTGAGTATTAGCTAGATAATGCATGTGAATGTGTGGCACTGGGCAGATACACAGTGAATAGCACCCGTTTTAGACTACAGAGGAAAGAAAGCAACAACACCAAAACCAGGCAGACAGCAAAGTTCGTATTTATACAGTAACTGAAATACATTTAAGAAAGTGTATCTTTTGGTGGTCTTTCTTACTTGAAATACTCACCTGCAACTGTCTTCTGTTTGCAAAAGTTCCTCCTTGTATATAAAAAGTTTTGTTTCCTGAATTCACGTCAAATTTGACTTTTGTCTTTCATTTGTGCAACAAGTATTTATCGAGTGCCTTCTGTGTGCCAAGCAGTCTGTGAGGAGAAGTGAAAGGGCAATCAGGGAGCGGGCTCCTGCAGACAGAGCTGAGAGGGGGATGTTCCAAAGAGGGAGATGGGAAAAAGAAAGGGAACAGACGAAACTCGTTTTGAGTTATAAGAGAATGCTGTGACAGAAAGCAAACAAGGGACTGAAGTGCAGAATGAGGCTATGTCAGGACAGCTGTGACGGGCAGTGGATGCTGTATGTGGGCTGAGGAGAAAGACCTTTGCTAGCCAGGGCAATGGTTCAGTGCTTTGCTAACCAGAGCAGCCTCATCCAGAGGGTGTCTGCTGTTCCAGGGTGAGTGAGCCAGGGAGTTGACTCTAACAGGAAGGTGACAGGGTCTCCTGGTATTCTCTGTTGAAGAATGTAAGCTTACAAGATGTTATAAGGAACAAAATTCATGACTATTTATGTACATGAATGTTAACTGACATGGATATGTTTTATATAGTTTAATGTTCTATATTTTATGTAGGCTAAAATAGTTTCTCTTTTTTTTCAGCTGGATGAACTACAGCTTTGCAAGAATTGCTTCTATTTGTCAAATGCTCGTCCTGACAATTGGTTCTGCTATCCTTGTGTATGTAAAATGTTGCGATTTTTGTTTTTTTCCCTCTTAAGTGTGTAGCATACTCCTCTGAGAAAGTTTATTTCCAGTTTGCTTAAGACTATATTCTTTCCTAAATATTTTTCTTTAGATCATAGAGTATATGGTTTCAATAAGCATAAAAAACTGAGACATGGGGAAAATAACTGGAATTGTTATCCATTTCTGACTTTAACATAAGCTATTTAAGAGTACACACAGTGGATTTTTGCCTCTCTCCATCACTCTTTCCTAAGAGATCCAAGGCTTTGCAGTTGTTTGTGGCTGTTTAATGTCTTCTAAAAGGATGGGGTTTCAAGAAGGGGCTGACAAAGAGCCTCTTAGCTGTCTCTGAGCCGTCCTGCGCACCTCAGGCACTTGAGGCTCTGTGGCAGCGAGAGTTCTGCTTCAGTAGGCCCATGTAGGCCTGAGGCTCTCCCGTTTCCCATAGATGCCCAGGTGGTGCTGGGGCTCTGGTCCCAGGCTGCATTTGACAAAGCAAAGCCAGCGTGTTCTGCGGCCCTGTTGTTCACACAGCACTTGGTTCAGGGGCTGCTGTGGCCCCGTCTCTTCTCTTCTGGGAAATATAAGGTTCATGTTGCTGCTGTGATGTAAACATGACTCCTTGGTGTTTTTCTTGGAGGTAAAATCAGTCAGCCCTCCAGAGGCCTGTGTGTTCAGTAGTTACAAAAGGAATTTTCAAAATGATGGATTATGCATGACTAGTTCAATATGAATGGTATACTTGCTTTCAATGCTTTACATACTATCAGTGCTTTAATATTACAAGGCAAATAAATCTTTTTATTTCCAGATACCTAATCATGAGCTGGTTTGGGCGAAAATGAAAGGTTTTGGGTTTTGGCCCGCCAAAGTCATGCAGAAAGAGGACAATCAAGTTGACGTTCGCTTCTTTGGCCACCACCACCAGAGGTAATTCACAGACTCACTGCGCTGGCCACAGCTGTGCCTCTGAAGTCCTAGGACAGTCTGATGATTGCTCTGTCAGAGACAGCATGAAGTTTACTTTACACTGAAAAAACAAAATCAGCACATAATTATGCAGCTAATGTGGTTTCTAGAAATTATAGTTTCAGGTGTTTTTCCTGTGTAATTTACTGAGTAGGATGTTTTTAATAACTGACACTGTTGACTTCCAGAAGCATGTTAGTGCTGAGAGTGAGTTGATGCAATGGGGCAGAGGATCCATTTCTCGGTGTTACTGTAGTGACGTTACAGTTGTTTCAACCTTCTTCAAGACTTGTTAAGGCCATTGACCAAAATAATCAACTTGGAATAGAAAAGAGTGTCAATCTTGTGATCTGAGAGTGTGTATCTATCAATACTTTCTAAGTGTGCATAAAAATTGGAGTTGAACCTTGAACAATGTGGGGGTTGGGGCATCAGCCTGCCATCCCCACACAGTCAAAAATCTGTGTACAACTTTAGACTCCCTACAAACTTTACTAATAGCCTTCCTTTGGATGAAGCCTTACTGATGACATAAACGGTCATATGTATTCCATACTGCATTCTTACAGTGTGGTAATCTGGAGAGAAGAAAATGTTAAAAAAAAATCAAATGAAGAGAAAATGTATTTACTGTTCATTAAGTGGAAATGGATTATCATAAAGGTCATTGTCTTCACATTAAGTAGGCAAAGGAAGAGAGTGGTTGGCCTGGCTGTCTCAGAGGCACAGGGGCCAAAGAAAATTCACATATGATTGGACCCATGAAATTTAAACCTGTGTTGTTCAAGGGTCAACTGTATATGCATGTAACTACAGGCATTGTTTCTAATCCAGATTTTACAGTTTTTTGTTTCTAATCTAGATTTTACAGTTTCTTCAGTGAAGCTTAAAAATTTGCATTTTCATAATATAAGAATATATGTAATCTAAAAGTAAAAACCACTTTATTATTATAAAATTGTTTTGCAGTTAAGTTTCTCATATAAAAACTGCTGAGCTATAGGACTATAAAACTATTTCCTTCATTGTGAATTAAGGCTTTAACATTTATTAACCTTAAAAAGTAGAAAGTGTAAAATACTGTCAATAATGTAATCACTAATGGCATTGATTCTAAAAATGTGAATTCGAGTCTTGTGAACTATCATAGGACTCAGAGATTAATGAGTCTAATAAAGCCACAAACGGAGTAAATAAAGAAGTCACATGCAGTTTGTTTGGTTCATGTAACAGATTTTGAGAAAATTGGGAGTGACAAAAGTCTGCGATGTGATTTCAAAGTCATAAATGAATAGTCCACGAAGTGCATTCTTGTCTTGCCAGGAGGGTTAGGGTCTTCTATAGAGGTTATTAGGGGAGAAAAGCTACAAAATGAGGAACTTTGTCCCTTTCACAGTGAATTTTTATTCTTCATTTAATTTAAATAGAAGTTTGAAGAAACCTATATACAGTGTAAAGAACAGGAGGGACGTGCACGTCAGTTTTTTCATATGTTATTACATAAAAATCAGAAAACCAAGAGTCTGCCAGACACCGTGTGTCCTGCCTGTAGTCCTCGTACTTTGGGAGGCTGAGGCTAGTGGACTGCTTGAGCTCAGGAGTTCAAGATCAGCATGGGCATCATAGTGAGACCTCATCTCTACAAAAAACAGAAAAATTAGCCAGGTGTGGTGGCACATGCCTGTAGTCCCAGCTACCCAGGAGGCTGAGGCAGAAGGATTGTCTGAGCCCAGTAGGTAGAGGGTGTGGTGAGCCATGATAGTGCCACTGCACTCCAACCTGGGCACCAGAGTAAGACCCCCTCCAACTCAACAAAACAAAGCAAAACAAGATCAGTTATTTTTTTAAAGCCATGCAACTAGGTAAGAACAATCTGATAATCAGAACATTTCTTTTTCATCAATTTGCAAGCAGGTTTATAATATCTTAAACCATGAGTGATATTAATAATATGAATTAACATGTTTTATGCCATTCATGGTACTTTTAAAAAATATTTGAACTAATCTTTTTGGGTCCTTAGAGGAAATTTGTCACCTGAAAAGAAAAATAAACCATCAAATTACATTTCCAGGTTACATTTTTCTTTTTCCTCAAGCTTATTTCCTGGAAGATTTTTACCTAAACAGTTTTGGACAGATGGGACTCTAAGGACTTTTAGAAAATATATTACTATACAATATAGAATTATTTTCCTTTGCTTTTCCTGGGTACAATATGACCAATAAGATACTTGAAGTGAATTATTAGTTAAGACATACTTAACTTAAGTTATACTCTATCATATTAGACTATTTGTTATATTGAAAGCAAACTTGGTAAAATTATAATAATAAACTTTTGATAAACTGTTTATTCTTAACCAACATATCATACACCTAAAGGTAAATGGGCTGGTAAGGCACCACTGATTGCAAGTTTTAATTAATAATATTCTTTTGATAGTCCATCATATCATTACATGTGAAAAGGGAAAAAAAGTTAAACCAATGGATGGTTTTGTGCTTGTCCCTTCTGGAAGTTCAAATGGAATATACTGCTCCTTCCTAGACTCTGAGCAGGTTGTACATCTTCCAGGAAAGAGTTGACTCTGATCATGTTTACAATGAGAGCTGCTTTGGTGGTTTTTTAATATAATTTGCAAGATTTTGCCTACAGAAAGAAAATAGTAGCTGACATATAGATAGAGCCAAGTTAGACTATATCTTTTTGTTAGACTTGTGTAATGTTTGCTTTATTTTTTTTCTAAATCAGAGAGCATACCCAGTAATAATTTTTTAAACTGAAATCTGTATTAAGAACTATGTATTAAGAACTGTGTTGAAAATAATTTTAAGAATAGATGTGAATCAGTTTTATTATGTTTAATGGATAAGTAGATAATTTCAGTTAAGGGGAGAAAATGCTCTTGGAGTTACACATTTGTCCCAGGTGGTCAGCACTACTTATAACAGTTCTTTCTCAAAAGCGAACTGCTCTAAACAAAGTGAACAGAAACATTTTTATTGATTGCCTTGTACATAGGAGGAGCTCAGTGAGTATTTGTTGACTGGAAGTAAATATTAATTCAAAATTTTATGGCAAAAAACTCTTCCCATAAGCATAATTTCTTTTGCACTCTGCATAGTGTAGTATACTTTTATGCAGTGTTGAACAAAGCATTTATATCAGATGCGACACAGTTGATAAAATATAAATACTTATAGTATTATAGAAGCTCATATTTAACAATCTTAGCTATTCTTAGCATCTAACAGTAAAGCTCATTATATATTTAAAATGTGCTTGTAGATTACAAAGCACCCAGCTTAGCTTATACAAGCGAGTTAGAGATCTTTTTTTTTTTTTCAGTCAGAGTCTCACTCTTGTCGCCCATGCTAGGGTGCAGTGGCACATTCACGGCCACCACAGCCTCCACCTGCTGGACTTAGGCAATCCTTCTGCCTCAGCCTTCCAAGTAGCTGAAACTACAGACACACGCCACCTCGCCTGGTTAGTTTTTGTGATTTATTGTAGAGACGAGGTCTCACCAAGTTGCCCAGGCTGATCTTGAACCCCTGGGCTCAGGCAGTTCTTTCACCTCAGCCTCCCAAAGTGCTGGGATTACAGGCTAAGCCACTGTGCCCAGCCTAGAAACCTTTATTTATGGCTGAGGCACATGTGGCCAAGATTCTCTAAAAGATTCCTTCAAAACGGTCATAGGCCTAGTATTTCTGACCCTCCATAATTACGGACCAGGAGTGAAAATTGTGACATCCTATATATTTATAGCAGGAAAAACCTTTAACAGAAAACTGAAGAGAATAAATAATGGTGTGTTCATAGTACCATATCCCAGTTTGTACTCTGTGCTCTAGAAAATGTCTATCACTTTACTCGTGTGTCCTTAGTTTCCTACGTCATTTTGATGTTCCCTGTGCCTGAAAGCCCTCCCCTCGTCTTGTTCCTAGGATAAACTCCAACTTACCTTCAAGTCCAACCCTAAATAAGATGTTCTGACCACTCACAACCAAATTTGCCCTCTTCTCCCCACAGCACCCCAGAATACCTTTCCTGCCTGCTGCATTACGTCGTCATTATTTGTCCGTTCTTTCTGACCAAACTGTAAGTTCCTCAGAGGCAGGGGCAATGTGTGAAGTGCCACCCTGACAGCCAGGAGACCTGAGGCCTCTGGATTCCAGCCACTAATTAATAGTTCACCTTCAGCCCTCGTAGGCAGCATCTCCTCCAGCTGTCAAGTGAGGCAGCAAGACTCAAGGTCAAGTAGACCCTGTTTACCTTTGCATTATCTTGCAGTGCCTTCCACTGGTACACAGTACACATTTAATGAATTGACACTACACTCAGGATGGATACTCATTTAAATCCAGTTGAGAGACTAATGCTCAGGAAAATGTTCTTGAAAATTCTTTTAGCTTTCTCCCAATAGAACAGTTCTCTAGTTTTAGATCTATATTACACATAATTTACAGGCACTTAAAGTGATGTTCTAGCTAAGTACATCATTGCTAAATAATAAACACATCTCAATTTGTTAATCTGTTTTATCAAGTAAATAGGGCCATGATACAAATATAACTAACTGGGTGACCTCATATGAATTCATGTAAATATCTCGTGAAAACATCTGGGCATATTCAGATGTTTCTTTAGTGCTAATCTGCAAATAGCTAGATGGGTTCTATTTACTTACAGTATTCAAGACAAGAGGTAACATATTTAAAGGGACTTATGAAGATGCAGGCATGAACTATGACAAGCTAAGCTGATTATGTCATGAACAATTAGGGGGTTTTTGTGAATCGCTCCAATTCTGAGAACTTTGACAACGGTGAAAATCAAACAAACAGAACCCACCCATTTTCCATTTGGTAAGCACCTGTTTATTCAAGCCATAACTAACAGATCAGAGCTGCCACAAATTATGCCTTACAGGAGGAAGAGTCCACTAAATGCTCTTAACACCTCTCCTGCTGCTTTGGGTGTTTCTCACCTTTAAGTGCTTTTTCTAGGGCCTGGATTCCTTCTGAAAACATTCAGGACATCACAGTCAACATTCATCGGCTGCATGTTAAGCGCAGCATGGGCTGGAAAAAGGCCTGTGATGAGCTGGAGTTGCATCAGCGTTTCCTGCGTGAAGGAAGGTTTTGGAAGTCTAAGAACGAGGACCGAGGTGAGGAAGAGGCAGAATCCAGTATCTCCTCTACCAGTAATGAGCAGGTGAGTTGTGTCTTAGTAAGGAAGTGCCTGTTAATTACTCTTTTTAAACGTGAAAACCTTAGTGTACACTCCTCACTGTAATGAACAGATGTTCACATGTGTAATGTGCTCTGCGCAAGTAAACCAAAACCTGTGCAAATGAATGGATGTAATCATCAGTGACCTTGCCCTACTAGTGCAAAAAGTATAAGTACACTGCTCATCCTTGAAGGTACATTAGCTCTTTCACACCTTCAGCTACCAAAAGAATGGGTAAGTGGTGACTAAGTGGATGGAAAGAGCGAATGCAAAAGGGAGTAAGTTACTCACTTTTCGCCTGTGGGTTCACTATAAGTATTTTCACCAGAGAAGTATTTCCTCGTGCCTGGAATAATATAATATTGCTTTTATAATGCCCACAGCTGAAGGTCACTCAAGAGCCAAGAGCAAAGAAAGGACGACGTAATCAAAGTGTGGAGCCCAAAAAGGAAGTAAGTTGCCCACCTTAGAGTCCAGGTGGTAAATGAAACAGGAAGCATTTTTAAAGTATGGTCAAGACAATCACTCCTGGTGGATACTGTGAAGTTCAGTTGCTGTCAATCAAATAATGTCCATCAAACTGAACCCAGTCTTCTGGCTTCTCTGTCATGGCCTGTTACCACTGGAATAGCACACACATGCTCAGCGTCTCCCTCTCGGTTAAGCAGCCACTGACGAGAGTTTGGTGAAGTAGAAAGGGCATGTGGCTGCATTTTCTGGGAACTCTAGTATTTTTTCATAGCATTATTAAAAACAAGCATTTGGACAATAAATCAATTACAGCAACACTTAAAAACTGAAGGAGACTATGGTTGAGCTCGGCCTTTTGAAAATGACATAAGCCCTGCATGTTTTAAAACTCTATAAATCTGGGCATATTTCAAACATATATTCAGTGAGAAGTGGTGTAGGATTTTAGGAAACTTGTTAATGAATCTAGTCCAAAGAAATGAGTATAAGTTCATAATGTTAACATATTCTATATGATAAATTTTTGAGTCTGATTTAAAAGCACCACTTACAGTATTAATATGTAATAGTTATAAATGGAGTTTATGTTTAGAATTACTATAGCTGTTAATTGCATGTTTTTCATTCATTGCCTGTTTTTTGGGTTTATTTTTAATTGTGGCAAAATGTACATAACAAAATCTACCATCTTGTTTACGTTTTTTTTTAAACAGCATTATTCTATGGCTATATGTATCGTTGTGTTTTTTCCTAGTAGAATTGTTCTTGAACTGGAGAATCATATTGCTTTGTTTTGCATCTGAACTCTTTTCTTACCCTGTAGGAACCAGAACCTGAAACTGAAGCGGTAAGTTCTAGCCAGGAAATCCCCACAATGCCTCAACCGATTGAAAAAGTCTCAGTGTCAACTCAGACCAAGAAGTTAAGTGCCTCTTCGCCAAGAATGCTGCATCGGAGCACCCAGACCGCCAACGATGGCGTGTGTCAGAGCCTGTGCCATGACAAATACACCAAAATCTTCAATGACTTCAAAGACCGGATGAAGTCGGACCACAAGCGAGAGACTGAGAGAGTCGTCCGAGAAGCTCTGGAAAAGGTAACGCTCACGGACACCGCAGATGCGGCCCGTTGCAGCCAGGCCTTCCTCTGGTGGTCTGGCTATGTTTATACACACATCAACCAGGTAGCGGCTTTTGAAAACCAGCAGTGTACCGAAGCCAAGGTCTTTTATAATATCTCAAGTAATAATTATACTTTTCTCACCTAAATTTTTTATACATCTAATGAAATAAAGGGAAAAGCTACATTACTCAAGTGGAAACTTTGTATTCCATTTTCATCTAAGTGTAGATGTGTTCATTGCGAGCTGATGTCTTGTGGGCTTTCTTTTCATTTCAGCTGCGTTCTGAAATGGAAGAAGAAAAGAGACAAGCTGTAAATAAAGCTGTAGCCAACATGCAGGGTGAGATGGACAGGAAATGTAAGCAAGTAAAGGAAAAATGTAAGGAGGAATTTGTTGAAGAAATCAAGAAGCTGGCAACACAGCACAAGCAACTGATTTCTCAGACCAAGAAGAAGCAGTGGGTAAATAGCATTTTTTTTAAGAATCTTATTTCTGAAAATGTACACTGGCATGATATAAATCAGCTTAGGAAGTATCTGTGGCATTGCAAAAGTTGTTCCTGAAATAAGACCAACTGTGAAATTGTCAGCTTTAGTTAATTTTTAAAATTTTAATAAAAGTATTATAATCTCTCCGCCCCATATCCCACAGTACTAAGTATTGCTCAGGATTATTTTGTTAAATTGAGATCATGATACTTTAGGACATAGCAGATTTATTACAGTTAATTTATACAACGAGTAAACTGGCTGGCCCTGACCTTTGCCTGGTGATTCCTGATAGGTAATATCCAAATTGTGAAATTGTAAGTGTAATTATCACAGTAACAAATTAAGAATTTCAGATTTCTCTGAACTTAACACTTACACATGAGATGCTGTTAAAGGAATTGCTAAGTAGTAACATCTCATTGGTTTCTAACTACACTCCCTTAAACCCAGCTAGATAGTGTCATTTGTCACCGGCTCCTGCTTGTAAGTTTCACACCCTTTCCCTAGAGTTGGTGCTTCTGAACACACAGGAGCCGGGGGCTCTTCTTACAGCCTCCACACTCAGTTGGGAGGGGGAAAGTTTTGCTGCCAAAAGCTCATAACTTGGTTTCCATTTTAATGAATCACTATATGAAGTTTTGTGATAAGCTTAAAAGTCTTCATTTTATCTAGCCTACATTATGTAAATACATGTAATCTTTTCTTGAGATTTTAAAAAATTTTTAAAGTCTTTAAAAATATTTTAAAGTAAATATTTTTAAAGTTGTGATTAAGATTTGGCAAGATGGACTTCACAGCCGATTGGATGGAGCTGGAAACGGTCATACTTAGTGATCTATCACAGAAGCATAGAACCAAATACCACACCTTCTCACTCATTAGTGGGACCTGAACATTTATCACAACAGCACAAGGGAGAGACTGACAGTCTCGGGACACTGTCAGGTGAGGAAGGGGATGGAGGGGACATAACCACACAAATGGCACCTGGTCCTAAGCCAGGGGAAGGGAGAACCAGTTGGCGGCCTCAGACTTCACCTGCACGTAGATTACTTACGTGCCTAATCCTGACTCGTGTCCCACGTCTTTATACTAAAATAAAGAAATATGCGGAGACACAAAAACCCTCACCCACTTAACGCTCAGTTTTTCTGAGTAATCCAGAGACCTCATAAAACAACATAAAAATTATCTTTATGGCGTGAAAAAAAAAGATTTGGCAAGAAGGAAAATGGAAGCTTAGCATATAATTTAGAAGAATATAGGAAGATACCTTGATAGAAAGAAACGTGTTAATAACAAACTAAATACTGTTAACAGAAGACCATGAGATCTGCAGAGAGAAAAGGGAAAGCTTTATTTTCTATTTCAAAAACAAAAGCCTGCGGATTAGAGAGGCACAGCCTTGAGTACAAGTGAAAGTATGCGCCAAAGAATAAAGAAAAGGTTAGAAGGTCTTGTCAAAAGGAAAAAGACTTCAGTTGGTTCTTTGAGAATTTTCGTTGGCACTAGTGAGGTGGAGGAGCTGATACACTCTGACTGGTGCCTGGCACTCTGATGGGTGGTGGGCAGGACGAGCCTGAGAGTTGCAGCAGGTGCTTTCTGTAGTCATTAGACAAAGTCTTCAGATTACAGCAGGCGGTTCTAGTTGCCAGGTTTGCAGAAAGTTACATTTTTAGATCAATGTTTTGTACCCTGAGGGTTTCCCCCTCACTTCCCAACTCTTTTTGTAGTTGGGTATGGCAAGAATGACCCCATTCATGTGATCAACTTTCACAATATCATTCGATAGGAACTCAGGTGTGCTCAAGATAATAAAAGAATCAGAATGCCCCAAGACCATGTCTATGATAATTCCAACTTCATGCAGAGATAAGAGAAAGCTAGAACGTAGACACAAGATTCATGAGAAGAAATCCTTTCACTAACGAAATAAGAAAATGTGAAGAAGAGGCTTATGATATTTTTAGAGCACTTTACCACTTGTGAAATAGCTAGTTACGATTTTTATACCCATTTTTTTTAGAGGAGGACTTTGAGGCTTATGAGCTCAAACAGTGATTAAAAACAATGGCAGAGCTGCCTCATCATCCTCAGCTGGGACTCCAGGCCTGAAGCTTTTCTGCTCTGTATGTTGTATCTAGTAGACCCTTGGGAGGGCCCTTGCTTTTTTTTTTTTTTCTGTCGCCCAGACCGGAGTGCAGGGGCCGCTCCCGGCCCCCGCGGCCTCGCCCTGCCGGGCCCCGGCGGCCCCTCCGCCTCCGCCTCCCGAGTGGCCGGAACGACGGGCGCGCTGCCACGCCCGGCTGGTTTTTCGACCGGTGGTCGGGATGAGGTCTCGCCGCCCGGGCGGGTCGCGGACCGCGGGCTCAGGCAGTCCACGCGCCTCGGCCTGCCACAGGCGCGGGAGGACGGGCTGAGCCCCCGAGCCCGGCCAGATTCGAGTCGCAGGTGCCCCCGACGGCGGCCGAGTCGGGTGGGCGGTTTGAGGCCCGCGCGGATGAGAACGGGCAGGGCGAGCAGGATCAGGAAGCGCGGGCTTCGAGTTTGCGAGGCGAGCGCGCAGCGTGAGTGGAAGGCCGCGCGAGCTCAGGAGCCCGAGCGGAGGAGGCACTCCGTGGGGGTGTGCGTGGGAGGGCCCCGTGGGAAGGCGGTGGTGTCGGGGGAGCTTTCCGCCTTCCCCGCGGCGTGCAGCGCCCGCGGCGCACGAGGCCGT